TATATATATATATTTCTTCATGTAATTTAGAAATACGGAAAACATCACCTTGATACTATCGTTCTTTCAAATCTTTCCAACACATCAAAAGCATTTTCCATTGGAGATAGAAAATGCTTTTGAGTGATACTCTACATAGTTCCAGAGTGCTACAGAAGTCTCATGTTGTAAATGTCACACTCGTGAACTCGGGTTTTAGAAGGGACCATCAATAAAACCAAGATTGTTTTTTTGACTTCAATGCCATTGTCAATTTGTCATGACTTTAGAACACAAATGATAATTTTTACATTCCGATCAAGGAGACATTGTAATTTTTACTATGTCATGAATTGGATGTTGAAGGGGGAGTAACAAATGGTTGGAGTGAGGTACATTTAAAAATATTGTTAATTTCTTTTAATGCTTTTTATGATGTAACTAATATATGATGTATATATGTTGCAGCTTTTTGAAGATGCTACACCATTGGGGGAAACCAAATTGGAAGACATTCAGATTCATTGGGGAAATTTGTTTTTAGAAAAATTTAGAAATAGATCATGTTGAAAGGTCTAGTATTACATGTAAAATTTAGAAATAGGTGAATGTGGTTTCAGTATTAGGCTCCCCAGTGCATGTCTAATGTAGTGTGACCTAATTTTTTTGATCTTCTCTTCTCCTTGTAAGAGAAAAACTCTTCTTTATGGATACTAGATTAGCCTCTCTTGGTTTCCAAGTATATTGTTTCTTTAGTATTATATATAATGATAACGATCCCAAATTGGTCTCTGTTGGTTTCTCTTACATTGGATAATTGAATCAGTTTTTGCAGGTTATTTATAATTAAATCAGTTTTATTTTAAAAATTAACCTGGTTAAAAAAAAATACAATCTACAGCAGTTCTACGCAAAAACTGACTTAGATGTATATATATGCACATCTAAGTCGGTTTTGAATAAAAACCGTCTTAGATGTGCACATATACATCTAAGTCGGTTTTGAATAAAAACCATCTTAGATGTGCATATATACATCTAAGTCAGTTTTGATAAAAATCGACTTAGATGTATGTGCACATCTAAGACAGTTTTGTGTATAAATACATCTAAGTCAGTTTTTAAAACCGACTTAGATGTATAAATACATCTAAGTCAATTTTTACGTAACTGACGTAAATATGTTCATTCATCTACGACGGCCTTATCTAAGTCGGTTTTAAAACCGATGTAGATATGACAAAATAACCGACTTAGAATACAATCCTTCTAGTAGTGGAACTTGTAGGATAAGAATGGGGTTTGGATTTGCCAATATTGAAAGAAGGTTGAGAGAAATACATTTTATATCAATTAAAATTATAATGAATATAAAAAGTTGTAATTCATTTATATATAAGAAATTCACACTGCGTTTATTAGCTTCCATGATACTTCCCTACAACCAGGGTTACCAACAACATTCATAATTCTCTTGTAATTGAAGTTCTAACCTAACAAACAAATTACAAATAAGAAAAAATTACTAATAACAATATATAACAACATAAATAAACTAAAAGGTCTCCAAACATCTTCACGGTTTCAATAATGTGATAAAATAATCAAATTTTATTATATATTAGTGTAAAAAAGTTTCCCACAAACATTATACATGAATTAAATTATAAACATAATTCACATTTCATTGGCAGTATTAATGATATAAAAAATATATTCTTTTTCTAAGAGACGCATTTCTATTTTTTTTTTACAATACATGTAATTATTGTTATCCATGAACATAATTATAAAATTAAATTTATTCAAATTTTAATTGAAATTAACTATGTTAAATGATAAATTAAATAAATTTGCCTTTAAATAATAATGGATAGTGGAATTTTATGAAAATTTAATTATAAACTTTGATAAATATTTTTTTGGCTGATAAAAAGTAAAATAAAATTTGTGAAATCATTTTACATTCAAATTTATATATAAATTTTGCGAAGATCTCAGTTTTTTTTTTGGTGGCCATGCACTTAAGTAAAATGCAAGTAGTGCATGCATGAATTACGGGTACATATATATATAATTACCAAATTTTTATAAATATGAGAATTAATGTTGGTAATTTTGTAAATATAAAGTCAAGTACAAATATTTTTCTGAAATGTAAATATTAGACTCAGTACTATAAAAGTACTCTTGATATTATCATCCCTATTTATGTAATATCCGATCACAAGAGAGATTTTTCTTATTATTACCTTTTTTACAATTTAGGATTTGTACATAAATATGCATATACATGCTTTTACAATTTATACACGTATATTTAAGGTTGACTCAA